GCTATTTAACATTAAAACACAGTTATTCTTTAAAAAGCATATTCTTTCAGATGCCTATAGAAAACAAGAACCACTACCAGTTAATATTGATCTTATTTTCTGAAAATATCTACATTTTTTTTTCTTTTTGATTTCTGTTTTTGATTGCAAGGGCACTGTTGCAAGAATGGAAGTTGAACTAATGAAGTTATTCATTTTCTGCAGTAAACAATTTTAAAAACCAAAATCGATCACAGCTAGAATCTTTGGAAGAAGATTTAAGAGTATGCCTGTCCAAAATTGGAAAGAAGAGATCCAAAAAAACTCTCATTAAATGTTAAATTATAATAAACGGGAAAAAAATAATTATTTTTTTAAGAAGTTTCATGATGATTTTTTTATCATAAACTAGCAGTAGAGCCCGGCGTTGCCCGGGGATGTAACAGTAAAAGATAGATCAAGTATCGACCATCATAAAGACTGAAAAATAAAATTGACAAAGATTATTGTTTAAGGTTGACAGACACACATGTCTTAATTATTATTTTTTTTTTTTTTACGAATTGGTCAAACCCAAACTCAAGCAAGAACATTGTTTTCAATCGTTATAAGTCTATCGATTGAATAGAATTTTATTATAAACAATTGTCTTGTAAATAGAATTTTTAAAGCATTCTGAATATAAAAATAAAGAAAAAAGTGTGCAAGACAATAAGAAACACTACCTGCCAAAAAAAGTGAAGTTTTGTTGAAATCGGTTGAAAAATGTAGGAAGTCCGATCCCATATATAAACACACACACACACAAACAACCTGGGTTTTATAATAAGTATAACTCGATATGAGTTGTCCCCCTCTCATTCTTGCGACAGCAATGCTTCTTAATCGTGTTTTCAGATTGATTTTGTGCAAAAACAATTGTTTTTTCCAATTTTTGGCGCTGTCAGAACAACCGCAAGGTAATTTTACGTAGTCCTGTGAAGTTTTGTTGAAATCGGTTGAAAAATGTAGGAAATTCGATCCAATATATAAATGTACAGACACACACACAACCTGGGTTTTATAATATGTATAACTCGATATGAGTTGTCCCCCTTTTATTCTCGCGACAGCAATGCCTCTTAATCGTGTTTTCAAATTGATCTCGTGCAAAAACAATTGTGTTTTTCCAATTTTTGGCGATGTCAGAACCACCGCAAGGTAATTTTACGTAGTCCTGTGAAGTTTTGTTGAAATCGGTTGAAAAATGTAGGAAATCCGATCCAATATATAAACGTACAGACACACACACAACCGGGTTTTATAATAAGTATGATTATAATAAATTGTTTTCTTTATGTCTATGATAAAGTAACAACTCTTAATAGAAGGTTATGAAGCTTTATTTGACTGATGATATTTATTGTATGAAAATGTACACATGTGGTACAAGGCCAAAAGGAGAAGATGGGGGGTAATTTAGGTCTTCATCTGTTTTATACTTACTTAGTTATCCACAATCACTGATCCAAATATACCACAATAATCCTTACACTGAAACAACACATTATTATTTACCATTCTTACTAGAGTCACCATAATACCACAGAGACTCTATGAAGTCTTAATTAGTTTTCATATGTACAATTTGTCGTTGATGGGAGATAAATAACAGGAGAGAATGCTTGGAAAATTTGATACTCACAGGATGTTTTAAATAAAGTTCAGATATCTCATTAAAATGTTAAATTATATAATATACAGAACAATAAATAATTTTTTTTTTCAGATTTTTAATTATTACCTTTGTTATTACAAATTATAATAAACTTTTCTTTGTCTTTGCAGTTCAGGTTGCGATGGGTAAATTGTCGCCAGTTTATATTTTGAATCTGCACTGTTTGACCTTGATTTTGTCAACTACCCAGTATAGCAGGGTCAGTTGGGCACCGTCTGCCAGAAAAAAGATCACAATGATGCAATTCACTCTGATAGATATTTGGAAACGGCATGCTGTACTGCTTGGCATCAAACCAGAAGCTCCAATACAAACATTTCAGAGTGTTTGGGTTTCAATCTGAGGGCAATGCAGAGGATTTAGAAAGAGTTGGATGAGTCTAATGGTGATTATGAAGGTATGGCAGCTCGGTAAACTCACTTTGATCATTCTGATAAGAAAGGAATTCCAAAATTTGTTGGTGAAGGCATTAGACTCAACAGAGAGGCCCACAACAAGTGACTTTTGGAGGTATTGCTTCTCTAGGTCAAGAGGGTGGCTGCTGGAAGACCTTATGTCTGGCAACAGGACTTTGCACCATGCCACACAAGCAGGAGAACCCAGATATGGCTGTCAGACAATTTCTGTGACCACATCACCCCTTACATCTGGCTACCTAACTCCCGTTGCAACCCCCTTGATTATTACGTGTTGGGTGGAGTTGAGTGAAAGACCAACAAAACTCCTTGTAACACCAAAGATGAACTGAAGACAAGGATTATGGCAGCATTCACCAACTTATACAAGGAGACTGTCTAGAAGAGTTGCAGGAAATTCCAAAGTTGTCTGGATGCTATGGTAGAAGCCAATGGCGATTTTATTGAATAAATTTACTCTTTAGTATTTCAAGATGTTTTTGTTTAACTTTGGTAAATATATCTATTAAAATGAGATGTCAGTGTTATTTCATTTTTATGTAATTTACAAGAAAATTTACCCATTGCACCTTGTCGTAACAACTCTTTCGTAGAAGTGTATAAAAGTTTATTTGACATTCTGCTTTAGTGCTGAAAAAAATGTCTATTTTTATTTTGCCGGCTTTCCACAATATCAAAACAAAATGCTTCATTATCTATGAGGTATTGGCAGGGACACGTATAGTTATATTTTTGTCTGTAGTTTTGAGAAGTCATTGTTTTTTTTTTCCCATTAGTCCCTAAAAGAAATGCTAATGTTACCGTGACATGTTAGTTCCAGATATTTTGTTTCTTTCTATCCTACCTTAAATAGATGAACTAAAATGGAGTGTAAAGTAAGTTAAAACTGTCATGGACACAAAATGAAATTGCTATTATTTTCTTTGCTGCCTCATTATGACAAAATTTTGTTCTGCTCTTGTGGCATAGCAAAACTGAGACTAAAGGAAGAATTCAATGCTATCATCTTATTTTATTTCAAAGTGACGTTAAATACTTCTATCTTACCTCTTTCTTCTCATTGAAACCGAGTAGCATCTCTAATATGTCTTTTCCATCTTTCCACTCATCAAAATGGAATAATTCATTATTTATCAGGTATTGACAGTGTTATAGACAAGCGTATGGTTGCAAGAAAGAAATACAACAACAGTAGAAATTTACGTGATTTATTTCAATAGGAACGTGTGGTTTTGGGACAGTTACCTTGTGGTATAGTTCATAGGCCGGCTGAAGATCTGGGTTGATCTCTCATAGTAGTTCTCGCTGGTTAGCATGCGCTACTGTTGCTGACCGCTCAGCCTGACCATGACAGGTCTCTTCCCTGGCCTCCTGTTGACTGCCGTTGTACTTCCGTGTGACCCCTTTTATGGCGTTTTTTTATGGCTTAACAGGCTAAAAAGCTGAAAACGAAGCAAGTATAATTAGGAAGGAAGCATTTTTATTGGTAGAAAAATAGAAACACTTTAAAATATTATTTTATTTTTCGACCGGAACTCATGCGTCGGGAACATGTGTAAACAAAGATAATGGTCATTTTGTGATGGGCCTTGTCCCGTTCACATGCGGCTCTTGCTCTTGAGTATGTTAGTTTATTAGCCTGCAAATCAGCCGAGATATGTCTTGTTTTATTTTATAACAACAGGATACGTTAAATACTTTTTTTTTCTTCCATTTTCTCATTGAAACCAAGTAGGAACAAACATAGCTATAGGATATTTTTGTATATGATCTTGAAGTCATTGGACTTTTTTTTGCATTCCTTCCGAAAAAAAAAAGCCAATATTACTGTGATATGTTAATTCCCGACATTTGGCTACTTTCTATGCTACCCTAAAAAGAAATAGATGAGCTGAAATGGAGTGTAAAGTAAGTCAAATCGGCCAAGTATACAAAATCAAATTGCTATTTTCTTTGACCCTGATTATAACATGATTTTGCTCTGCTCTCATGACATAGCAAAACTAAGACTCGGAAGAATTCAAAGGTATCAACGTAAGCTTTTGTGGGTAATCAAAGAAATAAACATTTCACAACAAGCGTGAATAACAAATGAAATGTTTGATGTTATGGTGAACGTCTGACTTTGTGTGAAATGTCTTGAGATTACACGTACACTGGCTATGAAAACATTTTTGACTCGTACTAACTTGAATATCATACTTGTCCATATTATAATAATATTGGTAACAACAATGGGAACAATACTTTGAAATAATTCAGGTTGAATATCATTAATTATTTCGAACTATTGTTCCAATCTTTGTTATCAATGCTGTTATAAACACGTTTCGACCAAATACCATCTGGTCATCATCAGGTGCTCATTGTTTTGTCTGAGATGAGATATCTGTTCATTATTGTTTTGTTCCTGTGGTACCAGTTATTTATCATTCCTACTGAACCAGCACTGAAATGTATATGAAAACAAATTCTTTATTTATAAATTTATTAAAAATGTAAAAAGAAAATTTAGATAAATACATAATGACAAGTAACTGTGTCAATAAATTTTGGAAATAAAATTTCAGGACATTTTTTTCATGTGTTCTCACCACATAATTCACTAAAATAAATTGAGAGATTCAGAATTTATACCTTATTCTCAAGAACTGACAGTAAAAATGTTAAACACTATTCATTAATTACAGAGATAATTTATAAGAATAATTTGCTAAGGCTTAACAAAAGCATGGCAAAAACCAGGAGTATATAATAATAGCAGGGTCAAACGAAAAACCAACCTTTGGCCACACCTATTTTTCTGGGGTAAGTTTATCCAATGTTGAAGAAAGGTAGATGGGGAAATACAAAGATGATTAAAATGGAAAAAAATGAAAGGAATAATGTTAGGAGTAAGAGAAATAGAGAAGGAAAAAAGGGTCAGATGAGAAAGAGGAATGTGATAGAGAAATAAGTGAAAAGCAAAGTCGGGTGAGAAAAATGAGGAAAGAGAAGAATGAAAAAGAGGAAAAGAAAAAAGAGAATAAGAAGAGGGAAGGAAAAAACGTTAGAGATGGACAGAGGCAAAAATGAATGGTGTTTGCTTCATTGCTTAAAATGAAGAGGAAGAAGAAAAAGATTTGGAAGTTTGGTAAAAAGAAAGACAAAAGAAGAGGAAGAAGATAGATTAGAAAGGAGCTGGGAGAAATACATAATGAGGTAAAAATGAATGAAGAGGAGGAAGAAAAAGATTTAGATGTGAGGTAAGAGGAGGAAGGAGAAAGACAAAAAAGAGGAAGATAGATTAGGACAAAGCTGAGAGAAATGCATGTTGAGGAAAACTAGAATGAAGAGGAGGAAGAAAAAGATTTAGATGTGAGGTAAGAGGAGGGAAAAGAAAGACAAAAGAAGAGGAAGAAGATAGATTAGAAAGTAGCTGGGAGAAATACATAATGAGGTAAAAATGAATGAAGAGGAGGAAGAAAAAGTTTTGTAAGTTGGGGTAAAATGGAAAAGAATATAGACAAAAGAAGAGAAAGCGGCGAGATTAAAAAGAAATAAACGCCCAATAGAAAAAAAAGGAATCAGAGTAAGAAGCATTTGTATAAATTAAAAAAACATGAAGAGAAGAGAATTGCATCATGAAATGAAGATTAATATTCCAAAATGACTCATCATTTCGGCCATGTTATTAATTTTTTCCAGCCTTTAATTAGTGACATCATTGATTGCCATCGTATAGGAAGGAATATTCAAAATAACTTCAAACCATTTTCACTTCAAACATTTTCTCACATGCAAATAGCTGTTCCGATTCCTTTATTGAAACAAAACGCAGTTCAACATTTGGCTTCTCTCCAATTTTATCATTCTGAAACTGTTCTGTGATTCTTGCATTTTCTTGGAACTTCATGGAATCAAACATTTTGATCAACTGATTGTCTTGAATCATATTGTAACTTTCTATCTATATATGTGGGAGGATCCATAAGTCTGCAACCATACATGATCCAAAATAATCACTATAATATTCATGATGAACTTTCTCCTCTGAATTAAGTGCATTGACAACAATATTTTTTCATCATTAGGCTGTGGATTTATTAATTTACCTATATATATATATATATATATATATATATATATATATATATATATATGATTATTTATTCAAAAATTATAACATAAATATGTTATAAAATCACTACAAAAATAGCCATTTTGTTTCAACACTTCTGGTGTCTTATCAAGTGATGGTGTTGAATGTAGAATAAAGGGTTTTAAAAGGTCCAAATCAATCAAACATCCCTCGATAGGGGAAATGCTTTTACATGCTGCAATGACCAATCAAAATACAAGTATATGAGAATTCAAAAAACTTGACAACGGACTTAAGTTATAATAATTATTTAATGCTTTAATTAACATTAAAGCATTAAATTAGACTAAAATAGAATTCATTCTAACTAATAAATATTAAATTATACTATAAAATTAAAAATTACCAATTTTAAATTTAATCTATATTAAATGTAATGAGAATGAAAATAATATATAAATTCTAATGTTTACAGCATTAATTCAAAAGAGGACTTAATACCGATGGTAGAGCAATAATTAATTTTTTCATACAAACAAAAATAATTTACTCACAACAAAGATGCAACTTTGTTTCAGTGCATTTAGTTGCACCTCGACTGGTGAGAACCAAAATGGTTATGAACAATTTTGTTTGTAAGCAGGCCACACATGGAACATCACTTCCTTTTTTCAATTTGTTTGAAAAAAAAATAGGTACATTTTAAGAGGGGATGTATAAGGATAAAGAAAGGATAGGAAAAGCAAAATGGAGACAGAGTGAAATAATAGTGTTTGTTGATAGCAGCTTCATGAAGGATTGTTGAGATGTTAAAGTGATGGCTCAACCTGAGAATTTTTTTTTTAATTGACAATAACGGTCAAGGGTTTAGACACAGCATTTCCAAGCCTCCTAAGAGTGAGAGATTGGGGAAGAAAGGTGAGAATAAGAGAGAGTAAGATGATAGAAGAGGAAGTAGGGATAAGTTCAAATGTTTGTTATAGTATTAATTGTAAATGTTTTTGGTATCTTTAAAATGAAGCCAGATCTGAATTGCGTATATTTAGACTGGAATTATTGCTACTATTTTTGTAATCGATGAATGTATTTTGTAAATTAATAAATTAAGAGGGGAGATTTTTTCTTGGTATGTTGAATACATAAGTAATTTGTTTTTTTTTAAAAACAATAACTTTTAGCTCAGAATTTAAGATATAAGTAGAAAGGTATAGAAAAGTATGTGACTTTTATAACTTTTATAAGCAAATTTTGACCTATTGTCGGATTGTATAACTTGTTAAATAAGTATGGATATATAAATCAATTTATCTGATATTATTACTAGTATAATATATGTGCAAAAAACATTTTAAGTATCATAATCTAAGATAGACTAGTAGAAAGATATATAAGAGGGTAGGAAGTAGATATATATATATATATATATATATATATATATATAAAAAAAAGAAAGAAGAGAGGTGCATAAACGTTTTTGGTTCTAATGTGTTTTTCAGAAAAAAAATATTATGCTTTATTTTCCATAATTTTACTACACATGTTTCTGGTCTATGAGCGTCTTCATGTAAAAACTCATTTCCACATATTATTAAAAAATAATTAATTTTTTCCTTATGTTTTTCAGTGTTGAATATTCTCGATATGAGACATTCTCCGTTTTTGTGTTAGTAATGGAATGTCTTTCTTGAATTGACACACGAAGAGTTCTCTTTGAAGGTCATAAAACAATTAAGGTTGATCCAAGAAATGATGAATTACTTATCGGCATTTATCTTTTAATGTATTTTACTGACCCCTGTGCGTTCTTAGATCTATTTCCATTTTCGTGTGTTTCTGTCAGCATGCGTGTATATATGCGTCCGTATATTCTTTGAATTACTCATAGTAAGAGTAAAATGTATGGGGGGAAATATATGCACGCATATATACACACATGCTGACAGAAACACAAAAAATGGAATCAGATCTAAGAACGCACAGGGGTCAGTATAAACATTAAAAGATAAACACCGATAAGTACATTCATCATTTCTTGGATCAACCTTAATTGTTTTATGACCCAGTATAGAACTCTTCATTGTCAATTCAAGAAAGACATTCGGATTACTAACACAAAACGGAGAATGTGTCTATATCGAGAATATTAAACATTGAAAACATAAGGAAAAAATTAATTATTTTTAATAATATGTGGATGTCCGCTTTTACTCTGAAGACGGGTCACTCAGACCAGAAAGTGGTAGTAAAATTATGGAAAATAAAGCATAATATTTTTTTCTAAAAAAAAACACATATTACAACCAAAAACGTTTGCGGTATCTCTTTTCTCTTTTTTTTAATATACATACTTTTCTATCATTGGAACCACTACAACCTCTTTCTTTTTATATATATATATATATATATATTAAAGAGACTGATCAGTTGCTGTGATTAAGCTTTTTATTCAATTTTTCTTGTGTTCGTATAAGTGATTTCTTTTCTAACATTAAGTGTGTAAAAACTGTCTAAATGTTCTATACATTGGAACATCAGTTCCCAAATTGATTGCATTTAAATCTTTGAAGATCAAATTTGAAACATAACTTAAAGACAGACTTACTGATGAAATATTATTGGAATATTGTTAAATACTGTGTCTTTTCTATTTTTTGTTTTCTTAAATCGTGCTCTTTTCTAAGTGTTGAAAAATATTGAAAGAGTTACATCCATCATTTTGTTTAATAATGATGATAATAATAAATTAAGTAAACATACAGAAAAATTGTAGATTCTGTGAAGACTATCCAGAAATAATTGATTATCTCATTATAGCGAAGAAAACGGCGAATTACCTCGTCAAACCAAGCAACAGCATGTCACATGTATCCTACGACAGAAAATGTTGTGAAAAAGAAAATTACTTATCAAACAAAAGGGCATGTATTCCACATGATATGCTGAAGATGGAATATTTTAGAAACAAGTCAGTCGCAAGAGTCACTATAAAACTATTTTGATATGCAAAAATTGGGCGTCCTCTCCCAGTTGTCAACAAATGGAAAAAAATGTTCGGCAGATAAAAGCAGTTGGTGTTCTCGAATTGGGAGAAATGAAGAAAATTTGTGTATTTTGGCTACCGCGTTTGTCGGAGAGTGAGTTATTTTTCTGACTTGTTACATGCATTGTGATTCATGGGATAGTACCTGCAAATTAAGATTTTGGCATTTCTACAGTGATTTGTTCTCTGCGTTGTGGAAGTAATCTGTGACAAATATTTCCTTTGTAATCCCAGAACGCTTACACTCGTATCAGGTTGCATCTGCTGAATATAAAACTTGTCTTGACAAGGTGGTTCAATATCCGCACTAGAAAATCTGCTACTTTTGTGTGAGGGAAAAATTGGTACGAAATCACCCAGATCTGGTTCCAGATATAGACTCTGTAGCCAATTTTATGGGACTTTACAAAACACACAGAAGAATCAAAGCTAACCATTTAAACATAGTAGTCAAAGACCACAAAATAAGAATATGCTTTCTCATTGACAATGTAATGTAGCTTTGAAGATCTTTCAAAGTTTATCAAATACAAGGAGACCTTGAGAGCCCTGTTTAAGTCTCTATAAAATGATAAACAGTTTCTTCCTCTGTCTTTCTGCCTCTTGCTCCAAGATGTAGTAGCACATAGTAAGGTGTCCCCACTGGTCGTGTTTATTCTCCAGATACACTGATGATTGAATTGTTGCACATATATGCAAGCAAAACCATTCTTAATAGCTAAGTTTTCAATGTATTTTCCTTGACTTTCAATTATGTACATACTAGCAGCATGGCCTGGCATGCCCGTGCTTGATTCAAAAATCGTACAACTCATAAAACAATCGCTATCACTTCACTTAAAATATTTTTGCCCTTCCTTGCCTTTAAAGGAGTGCCCTTAGCTGTGCTGATGTTGCTACATGCCTTACTTCTTGCCTATCTCACACTGCAAATTTTTTCTAAGCTCTATGCTAAACATTAAACCTGTTACAAAAAAAAAAACTAAACAAAATTAACACAAAACAATCAGCTTTAAAAAAGGACTTGTAACTGGAAAAACCAAATGAAAAAAGAATGTTAACAGCAAATACTTTTTCAAACCCAACCCAGTTCTGCAGAATCAGAATCAACGTTGAGTTTAAGCAAGCGAATGAGCCAATTGGAGTAAAGTACCATGCAGATTTAAATTTTTCCCACTTGTGAGGAATGCAGCTATCGATTTTTTTTGCATGCTAGTTAACATTCGTGTAGAGTCAGCTGTTGGCTCTCATGCTGGCCAATAGAATCTTCCTGCCTATTCATGGCAGCCAGCTATAGACTCTCACTCTGGCCAGTAGAAAATGGCCGCAAACTACATGAAAACTGTCGTAGAAGCATGAAAAATCGATTATTTCCACTATCGATTGGAGTTGGGAAATGCAACATCAGTCTTGCCCTTCCCACTAACTTGGAGCAAGTGCATGTAAATTTTAGTGCAAATC